AAATTCAGCAGGTAGGATGAAGACCATATCAATATTAGCCAATGGCTTACCCCTATCGGATGTTTGCTTAACATGCCATGTTCGAGGTCTGTTATATTCCTGAGCTTCTAATTCTCTATTTCGCAAGCGTTGAACTCTTGTTTTCTTGCTCCTTGTTAGACCTCCTGGACACCATTGGTCTTCTTGCCCAACATACTCTTTCTCTCCATCATGACCGGCCTAATTCTGATCATATGCACGCTTTCCTAGCCGATCATGAACTCTTTCATTTTTTACGCGCCGATCCATGTTACTAGACTGATAACTTAAACGTTCATGGATGGACCGGTGGTTGGCTTGAGATTGCCTGAATTCTGAATATTGATTACTACACTTTGGGCAATTATGTCTCGTGGGTAATTTCAAGCCTTCGTTCTAGAAGTGTCGAAAGATAGGACAATTCCAATGTAACTCTGCCCATTCTATTTCGTACCTTTCTTCCTCGCACCGACGTTCATATTATTCTTTCTTTAGTGACACTTGTAGTCCTTCTCCTTCTGGCATTACCACTTGTTTAATAAGATCCTGGAAGTTACACGAGGATGCATAGCACCGACTCTGGATGTCTCACCTGGTTCATATCGGCTCTTTTGTTGATCGTGTTGTTTCTTAGCTTCTTCATACTCATTAGCCGATATTTGAACCTTGGGGTCGACCGACCCGTCTTCTCTAGGCTTAGTCAACATCAAAACCTTTGTCTTTCCTTTAGCTAACTGAAACTCTACCATATGCATCCTTGGGAAAGGATGCTTATCTATGTCCTTTGTTGGTTTCTTGGTTGGCTCAAACTTGATTTTTCCTTGCTCGATGTCCTTCTCAATGTGAAAGCGGAAGATTCTACACTCATTGGTACTATGGTCAGTAGCATTGTGAAACTTGCAGTACTTCTTCCCTTTAAGTTCTTTAGCCAAAGGGATCACATGATTTGTAGGTAATCTCAACTGCTTTTTTCTAGCAGCAAGTCAAAGTCTTATCGGCCTTCTTGACATCAAAGTCATAGGTATTTTCTGATTCTTTCACCCATGGACAAGATACACACTACTACAGAAATGAACTTGCGCAGCGTTGCATAATTGGCCTCCGTGGCGGGCACTGTTTTTGCCCGCCACGGTAATTCGGTGGCCTGTACAGGAGCCTTGCCCCATGTCCACTCGACGATCGCAACTTCTAGATCATCCCCATCAGAATCTACATCATAGGGATCAGTCATAGCAGCAGTACCCTTCAAATATTTCTTTTTGCGTAGGGCCCGATGCTGATTCTCAAAGGCAGAACTCTCTGGACTAAATGAGCCAAACTTTTAAACTCCTAGCCACCAAACTTCTCTTTGATTAATGGAGACATCCCTTGAAGGACCAATTCAGTCAATTGGCCATCAGACAGATTCAACGAGTAGCGATGGCTCCTTACTTCTCTGAATCTTTGAATGAACTCAGAGCCTAACTCATTGTTCCTCTGTCTTGTGCTTGTTAAGTTTGTAATTTTCTTCTCACCTGTCCCACTATAAAATTATGTGTGGAACTTGTTCTCTAGATCGACCCATCCAGTGATTGAGTTTGGTTCTAGTGATGAAAACCAACTGAAGGCTGGTCCAGATAGGGACAAGGGGAAGAATCTAACTTTATGTGCCTCCTCAACAGATGCTTCTTTGAGCTAAATGAGATAGCGGCTGATATGTTCCATGGTTGTCATCTCATCTATCCCGGTGAATTTGAAGAAATCTGGGACTCTATATCGTGGTGGGAGTTGCACAATATCATACCAGGCTAGGTATGGGCGACTGAGGCATTTGATAGGAAGTACTGAATCTCCCCTAAGCCAGCTGTTGCACAATCTACTGAGTAGCCAGAGAGGTTGGCTGCTAGACTAAATAGGCTTGGTTTTGTCCGGTAGGCTGTTGATTCGTCTGCGTGATAGTGGCACTTGGCGATTGTTGTGCTAGTGGCTGCCCTCGTGTCACCTAACCTTGCCCCCCTACTGTTGGTAGGGCTTGACCTTGCCCCCTACTGTTGGCTAAGTTTGAAAATCTGGGGCTTGCCCTCCTTGAAGCTATTGCGTTGGTGCCTATTTGAACTATCCATCGTTCGGCTACTCACTAGAACTGGGTACACTGCATCCCATAGCCGAAGGATTAAAGTTGTTGAAATACGATGGCCCTACTTGATCAACCGATGCCCCAAAGAAAACTTCTTTCATGACGTTGCCAATTGTATTGGCTAGCACCTAATTGTGATTTGTGAAGGCTTCATGAACGGTCTTGTGAACCATCTAGGTGGCAATTCTGGCTTTAGCTTCTTCATTCGAATCGCTCTACGCATGCAGGAGGACCCTTAGCAATGGAGTCTTCTAAACGACTGAACCACGTGTCCTATTGTAAGACAGCAGACATTTTTCTCTGAATTTTTCTGCTGCCTTCTCAATGAGCATCTTTTGGTCATCAGGCAGGTCTTCCAGGTTGACCTTGAGGATCGTCTGATTATCCATGTTGATGATTGTGGTCCCACCAGACTTGCGAATCTGTGTCGACGATGAAAAGTGAACGGGTCGATCCCCGCCGTTGGTACGTGAGCAAGCCAAGAGAAACCGTGTGGAGCAGATCCCAAGCTCTTCCCGGACTTAGGAGGACACCGGACCAGATGGTCGTGACCGAGGGTATGCCAGTCAATTTGATCATGTAATTAACAAGGAGAGAAAATTGATCAGTAATTTAAGGTGGAACATGCTGGTGTTTGTCTAGATAGTTCCAAATATGTGGCTAAGTAGCCGATGAAATAAGGCTATCAATTAGAGAGTCGATATCCAGTATGTTCATGATGCATGATAAGCAAGAACGAGTAAATCGGCAATTAATTTTTACTCAGGTATATAGATCTTGACTAGCTGATGATCATGAAAACATGCAGAAGATGTAAGGATAGGCATGTAAGCATTCATGTGAGAAACATACTAGCTTTTAACTAAGATGAAAACAAATAAAAAACATATAAATAGCCAGTACATCCTCAACAAAACAGGCTATCGGCTAAAACAGCCGATTCTAATGATCTTGTCGTATAGCATACTATCACTCATCCGTTGGATATAAATGAATCCACAAACAACTAGACTCAATCTATTGTACCATCAACAGATCGAGTCATCTGATGCAGCATTGATAGTAGGACCTTAGATCAGAGATCAGTAGTCGATAGATTTACTTATATCACAAAGGAATCGTGAGGGCATGTTATACGCGTGGAAGCTCAGACCATCGGCTAAATAGCCGATGGAGACATAGTGGGTGGTTGATGCCATGTTCTTTTAATAGATAGATCTATTAACTAACAATGTCCAATCTAACACGCTATCAACAGATCAAGTTGGCTGATGCAGCATTGATAGCAGAGTCATACCGGATACTATCAATCAATGAATCTATCTCTTAATAGAGTGCAACTTCAAACACCCACCATGTACCATCAGGACTGAGATAGATTAGTCATCAAATAGGATCTAACGTTAAGAATCGAATTCGACCGTAAAGATGTTTAGCAGACGATAGATCAGAACAACGGGACTAATAAATCTCAATCTAGATCATGCAATTGGGGATATTGTATCAAACAGTAAACTATTTAACACAATATCAATAACTTTGATTAATACCAACGTTTACAAGAGATCAGTCGTCTGTTGTAGCTTTGTAAAGGTTGATACGAATCGATAACTAATCTATACCATGATTTGTAAGAGATCACTCGTTTGTTGCAACCTTACAAACAACAATATAGATGGCTAACTAACTAATACCACGATTTCCAAGAGATCAGTCATCTGTTGCAGCCTTGCAAGTAACAATACAAGTCATGACGGACACTCACAAACATGCCGGAGGTCTGGTCGTCCAATGCAGCCCTGCTTGCCTAGAGAACTCATTGAAATCTACTCTACTCTTACTCCTAAGGGGTGGCATAAGCTAAAAAGTAAAGGTACTTGTTTGGTTGATCGATGAGACATGTCTATTACAACAGCCGGAGCCCAATATTTATACTTGAGGCTTGACTACGAGTCCTGGTCGAACAAGACCGATCTCAAACTTGGAAAAGAAAATAAAGTTTCCTAAATTACGATAACTTGGACCCCCAATCTTTTCCTTCTATGAAGTCTGACATATCCTCTCGCTTCCTGCCTTGTCGCGCTTGTCAATGGGGCCCATTCCCCTAATATGATGGTGTCATCTTATTTGATGGCAACTTTGGTTAGCTGATCTTGCTGAATATTTTGGCTTTTCTTTGACAAATTCAGACCTCAAGGTCCTTTCCTCTTGAACCAAATTTTGGTGTCAACAGAGTCATCTCCTTCCTCTTCTTTCTTTCCCAAATCAACATAGGCATGTGTATAGTAAGAAGAGGCCAATTCGGCTAGGAGCACTCACCATCTACAATGGATGGAACCACGAGCTTCACCACTCACTTGCGCAATCGTTTGATATCCTACACTGATAGAAATATGGACCTGCCGTGAACTAATTAAAAAGTTTATGGACTCAAAAATCAACCTTTTGACTTGATAGACCGAACCAAAACCCTAGCATAAGTTGATGGATCTTTGGTGCATTTAACTTTTAACAAAATAAGAACATTGTTAGAAATATTTAGATAAAAATATAGATTACCGGTGGACTCCATATGTCGTACTTAAAATTTTATATCACTATTTGAATTTTGGTATGGTTGTAGTCTAAATAAAATTTTGATCACGACAAAGTTTGGCCTTTGACAAAATTTGGCTCGGTATATTTGGGGGCTATATAAACCAAACAGGCCCCAAAGCGCCCACCTCATTGGCCAAAACCCCAGCAGCCTAGCATTTCCATCCCCCTATCCCGACGATTCTGCGTGATGGTGAAGGAGCCCGGCCGCATCGACAGTGGGGTTGTGCGCTAGAGCTGTTTCCGGCAGCGCCGCCCCACCCTCTTCAATATGGCCCGGGCCATCTCCGAGGAATTAGATGCCCACATCGCCGTGGTCGCCTTCTCAACCGCTGGCGATGCCCACGCCTTCGACGCGCCCACTGTGGACTGCGTCCTCTGCACATACCTACCCGTCGATGGTGTACCTCCTCACCCTGCTTTCCCTTCCTCTGATGCCGCCGCGGAGATGGTGGGCGAGGCCACCGCCCACGTGGCCGGAATGAGACGGGATAGGGAGGAGACCAAGGTGCTGGTTGCCAAGGAGTGGGCACGGGTGGCCGCCACAAGGGAGAAGGTTACGGCCGCGCAGGCGACCGCGCAGAAGAACTGGTGGGAGGTGGATGTGGAGGCCCTCAGGGAGGAGGATCTGCCGGTTTTCATCAGGGCGCTCGAGATACTCAAGGCCGATGTCAAAGGCTGAGTGGATGCTGTCCAAGAACTTGGTTGAGATCAAGAACTTGGTTGATTACTTCCAATGCTGTCCTAAACCTGGTTGAGATCAAGAACTTGGTTGATTACTTCCAATGCTGTCCAAGTCCAAGAACTTGGTTGAGGTCAAGAATTTTGTTCAGGGTTCAAATTCTACTTTGGTGAATTGTGCTGCTACCTTGGGTTACTGCAGTCTTGTCTTTGGTAAACCCCGTAGATAAGCTCAAATGCATCACAACATAGAATCAACATGATACATCTCAACGTGTGGACGGATTGCTAGCTATTATGGTATCAACAGAATTCAATATGTTCTTGATCTATAGAAATCAGAAAGCTAATGCAGGTTCTTCTTGCTCCATTTTCATCTGCAACATTTTACAATTAATTATAAGCTCTGGGCCTCTGCTACACAGCACATTTTCTATTTTAGCTGTGCCAAAGATATTATCATTCCATGTACAAGTGTGGATAACATGAATCCTCATTGATTCACCCCCAATGAAATAAATTCCTACCCTTCATGCAATATTTCTGAGAGAAACCTCATAGTACTTGCATAGTGATATTTTTCATGGCAAAGTTTTTGCTTTTGTGAAAAGAAAAAAAAGGAAATTTGGTCAGGTATCATGTAATTCTGGAATCAGGATCCTAGGTTGGGAATTTCTGCTGCTGATCTCAGCGATTATACCTGGTCATGTAGAAGTGAGAAAAATTAGATTTGCAAAATAGCATTGTTCTATTAACATCTTGCTGTTCCTGATGTTCATCATCCTTCATCTCTCTGCATCTTTCTTGCATACTACATAAAAAGCGAAAATGCATGTCGCTATGCTAGATTATCACGTATCTGAATCCCTGCAATAAAATGTCCTTCACTGATTTTTTTATGCCGCCATCATGTCTGCGACTACATCCCTAAAAGTCATTTCTATTAAACTAATAGCCTGTGATGAAGCTAGTGCTCTATATTAATTCTTGTTCTTTTGATTGTTAGCCACTCAGTGTATGGACTAACTTTAAAGAGTCATCAGAATATCAGATGGTTATTCTAGCTTAATAAAAGCATCTGCGCTTTATATGGTCCTTTCCATGGAGAAATGCTCCATCGAAAAATTATTTAAAGCTTCACTGCCTCTGTTCTTGAGTCAGTTATGACTTATGAGGTGCACCAATAACACCTTTTGTCCTATTACTTTGCTTGTTGATGATCTTTATGTGTCCCCGACAGATGATAACCTAAACGTTTTTGAGTTTTCCTGTATTTTTTGGAGACTTTGTGTCTGTTTGTTTGTACATGAAAACCATGGTGAATATTTTCAGTATTTGAATATATCTCTATCTGATGTGTAATGGAGTGAAGCTATGAGCAACTTTCCCTGCTCATCATTAGCGTGTTCGCAGACAATGAGGTTTTTCTCCACATTCCTGGTGAATAATGAGGCTTTCAAGGTCCTTTTCCGGGACGACACATTCCTGGATGACTTCGTCTCAGAGGTTGATGGGCTCCTGCCGTAGGCGCGTTAAGGAGTTAATACAGCCATCAGTTCTCACAAGTTTGCCTCTCACTACCGTCACAGAAACTGTTCTGTTGCTTTGTGCGCGGGTGTGCGTGTTGTGGTCTAGTTAGGGAGTTGAGGTCGCCTTTAGGCTTGCTGTTTTTTTTTGCCCTCAATTCTTGTTTCAGTTCTTCTTCTTTCTTGTGTTTTTGGTTCTCCTTCTCTCTAGTAAGCTTGGCGCTTACCATTGAGTAGGTAACTTCTAATGTACCTCTAATTTCTCTTAATGAAATACGTGCCTATTAGTGGCACCGTCGTGAAAAAAGGTTTTTCTCCACGTGTGGTGAAATAAGATCACATTCAGGACAAGGAATCAGCTATGGTGGGATGTTTGAATGTTTGATAGCAGAGGACTTGAGCATGAGGGCGTGGATGGAACTGGGAGAATCAGCGGTTGAAATCAATTGCAGTGGGAATGATGAGATAGGGGTCGTCCTGTAGGAAGCAGAAACAGAGAAACTCCAGTGAAGGACATGGAGCTAGCTCTCTGTTTTAACTTAGTTTGCATGTGGGAGGTGATCAGGAGACACAGCTGTGACAGGGATGGGGCTAAAGGGAGTGGCTATCTCCTCACCTGATTGGGCAGTGGCGCCATGTGGCTTGGTCGGATTGGCCATGGTCAGTGGAACAATGATTTGATTTGTGGAGGGGTGGTTGGTGGAAGTTTGAGATTTTGCTACTATCAGAAGTGGGCATTGTCATTTCATCATTTTTCAGATAGTATACATTGAAGTGACATCCTCTGTGTTGCCACCTTGTTAATTTGCCACATTTGGACATCTTTTTTCTAGTCTTTCTTAGCCTCCATCTCCACCCACCATTCTTGGAAAGCTATCACCATTGGAGGGCTTCCAAATCCATCCATGTGTAGTTTAGCCATCCGCCGTTTTGCTCCAAGGCATGCTGTTGTCCTTCCTCCATGGATATCGCTCAAATGGTCGGCCTGTCAGTTTGCCCACTCACTAACATTATAGCTGTTGGAGCCTTTCATCGTGATCATCCCAGCATGAGATTCAATGGAAACCGAGCTCTAGTTGGGGGCTCCTAGATTGGAGGGACAGCATCAGGATCAGAATCCAAGAGTGGTGCGGTGATGAAGGGAAGAGGAAGAGATTGATCGTTGAAGAAGATATTTAACTTGGATGATATTAATAGTGCTAGTTTAGGTCAGCTGGTTGTTGGCATCACTTAGGTGATTATTGTCTATAGTTGACTGAAATGAGCTATCCATGAATGTTACTCTTGTTCTCCATAGTGCATGGATGGCTTGATAATGTTAGAGGGTGTTTGTTTGAAGAACCACTTACTAGCGCAAAAGGGAATTTAGGAAACAATACTCCTAATTAACAGAGGCAGCCTAAAAGTGAGTCGGTCTCCAAAATAGCAAGCGATTTTCAGAGCTCATTGTCCTTTTTTCGGAAGATAGCACCATCTTTGAAAATCAATTAAGAGGCGCACCCCTTAAGAGGCTCATTTCAATAAATAAGCCCAAACCTCTAGAGGCCCAACATTGACCTTACTTCTATAAGCATAATGCTAGAGCTCTAGTGTTCTTAGCTCAACTCTTCCCTCGGCTCTCTCTCTTTCTCTAGACTCCATTGATCATAGCGGCCCGCTGCTCCAAGTTAGGTGGGGTCATAGGGCCCACCTATCAGCCTCAGCGTGAAAGAAGGGAATGGGCGCGGCTATCGCTTTCCGGTACCGTGGGCTCACGCGGAGCATGGGCTGGAGTCGCGCGCATGCGAGCGGGAAGGGGAGAAGGGCAGCGGACCAACTGGGCCATGTCCAAGCGCGCGGGGAGAAGGTGGGGCAGTCTGCCTAGGCTGCGAACGCGCGTGTGTGGGAAGGCGGCTAGGCAGGCCAAGCTAGGCTATAGTTTGGCTTTCCTTTTCCATTTCCTTTGTATTTTCTAATTCCTTCTCTATTTTCTACTTCTATTTGCTAAGCCATACCCCTGTATACATGTATACACTACTAGAGTGGGTCCAGTAGGTCAACCTTCTAGGGTTTGCCGCCCTAGCATTTCAAACACAAACAAGTCAACTCAAGCTGTATTGTTGATTAATTAATTGTAATCAAACATAGGAACCCAAAGAAGAAGCAAATCACAATGTCGCTTATTAATGCATATGCTCAATAATGCTAGTTAGGGTACTCCTAGTGCATCTAGGGTTATTTCCTATCATGATCACTCACCATGCATGGTTTTGGAAGACGTTTTAAAATGTTGGGATTTTTTGCTTTGGGATTTTCATGGTTGTTACACGCTTCTTCAGTGATGGCTCGAGACAGAGATGTGTTTTCGAGGATGTGATGTTAACAATGATATACTACGTGATGGCCGCCCGCAGCCGATGCTAAGCCAAAACTTGGCTATGGCTATGCGAGCAGCGGCAGACATGCCGGAACCATCATTTGAGGAAGGGTGCCACAGGCTTCAGGAGATCAAAGCAAAGATCTGATCGAGGTAGCAATAGTGCAACTACCCGAGGTGAGCCACGCGTCAGGTTCCCAAAGTCGACAACGCTCACTACGGCAACACTCGGGTGCTCATGACCAACCGTGGCAGGTGATATATATGCGCCCATTCTATTGATAGGTATGGTAACTTCTATTGTTAGAGAACTCGATGTTCATGATCTAGGCTTCAAACCAAGTCTTATTCGGACCCCCACAACCATTACACCACTGTTCCATTGGTTATTAACCACGCACAATGCGATTGACCTCACCGAGAAAGCTTTCCTACAAGCGAATCCAAAACACAAGGGATGAACGCACAATCTAAAATTGCAAGTATATATGAAGTTTATGAAACTGATAAGAGGTTCAAGCTTGATTCCAAAGGACTAGTCGACACAGGCGAACAAGATTAAGAACAACGGTCCTGGTTCACAATAGTAGATCTTGGAGATACAAGTGTACAAACAATATCTGTTTCATAAGGAAAACAAGTACACAACAAAACCAAACCCTAAAAAGAGCGATGGTGGCTAATTATAAAATATTGGGCATGATCACCCCTAAACAGTGGCAGATTCTGGATGCTAACTTGTTTCGACGATTCCCATTGACTCAGAATGAATTCTGATGTCAAACCAAATCCATTGGTTAGCTTATGAAATTATATTTCCATCCTATGTGGACCATTGAAAACAGAGTCCGTATGTGCCCTGGGCGTTGATTTTACCTGGGGCTACTCCTAGAATCCGAGATGGACTCCAACTTGAGTTGGACTAGGCCTCCATCATGATGTGGATGAGTTGGACGCCCATGCTAGTCCACCTCATCTCCATGGCTTGTATTTTGTGATAGAACCGGCCAATTTATAAGCACACAAGTACAATGGCAGCCCGCAAGCGGTCGCACTATCATACTTGAGCCCATATAAACCCAGTAGTCCATCGAGTACCACGAAGGGTCCATCGCCAAC